TCCCCATAAAACATGGAAACACAACATGTGTGTGTGTGTGTGTGTGTGTGTGTGTGTGTGTGTGTGTGTGAAACTGTGTGTGAGTGCATGTTTTTCTACACTGGTGGAGACTTAAACCTGAATACACACAGGACTCGTGGCACTGTGGGGACCTAAATCGAGGTCCCCATGGGGAAACAAGCTTATAAATCATACAGAATTAGTTTTTTTGAGAGTGTAAAAATGCCTATAGTTTAGTGTGAGGGGCAGGTTTAGGTGTAGAGCGATAGAAAATATGGTTTGTACAGTAGAAAAACCATTACGCCTATGGAGAGTCCCCACAAGGATAGTGAACAAGACTGAGTTTGTGTGTGTGTGTTTGTACCCTTTCTGCCCGGGTTTGGGGGCCTTGCTCTTGAAGGTGCGCGTCTGTCTCTGCTTGAATTTGGGCGGCCCTTTCTTGGGTGTGGTGGGTCCGGCGGTGCTGGCGGGTGTGGCCAGAGCACTTCCTGCAGGAGGAGCAGCGTTCATGTCTGCGCTTCCCTGAAACACAGCTAACAGAGCGACGCTTATGATCTGAGCGCATCACAGGAATCAAGAGTTTTGGTTTCTTTGGTTTGCTTAGTTGGGGACGCTTGACTGATTACACAAACACTATTGAAGAGAGCTGAACTGATGATGAATCACTGAATCATCAATGAACTGACTTTAAATGGAAAATGACTCTGTTATTGTCTTCTTGCATTATTGACAGTCTATTTTCCTGTTTGACTTTGTAAAGCTGCTTTGACACAATCAGTTTGTATAAAGCACTATACAAATAAAGGTGATTTGACATGACAGGAATCTGGGATTATGGGATTACGCTGCTGGATCTGGAACCTTTCTCTCCTCCGTTTATCACTCGTCATGGTGTGTGTCTCTGCAGTCTCTCACATAACTGATGGCATCTGCTTGTATTGATTTATCCCATAAACACCTCAGTGTGATAACATACAGCCTGTCAGTCATTATCACAAAATAAAGCCCTTCAGGATGAACACGAGTGCAGACTCTATGATATTCCTGACGTGTCAGACGTCCATCAGATTATAATCTCACAATAATCCACATCAAACACTGTTTTTCATGTTGCCTCATTAAAACCGTTAATCTCATTAACACAACAGACTTATGAGATTTCCTTCATCTGTCTGTCTGTGGATCAGACACTGGTGTTTCTGCAGCTTCATGCGATGCTGATTAGAGTTCACACCTTCCTCTGATCATGAATATTTCACACCATACATCATGTCAGTCTTCCTGCATTAAAGGGAACCTCGGGTATTAAGACTTGTATGGCTTAATATAATATATTTCAATGACGTTCAGTATTCAGTTGTGTTGCGGTAAAATTAACAGCAGATAGCACCAGTAACTCACTGAGTGCAACCATTTGACGTCATTGAAATAATGGCGCCCCCATAGTCCAAAATATGTATAAAATGATGTGGATTTCTTAAATAATGTAAATCTTTCATGGGTTTTCTACTACATATTTCAGTAAGAGACATCATTTACGTTATTTTAAGCCATACAAGTCTTAATACCCGGGGTTCCCTTTATGCATCAGAGCGTAGAATAGAAACCTAATGAACTAACCCACATAAAACAAACAGCAACAAACTAGATGTGATACAGCAAAACAGATGATTGATCATTTATGACCTATCGACCTGAAGAACATCAGCCAGCTGCTATTGTAATTCTTGAGCATGTTTACCTGTGTTTGTGGTGTGTGAGCAGCGTGTGCGTGTCTCTCTCTCTCTCTCTCTCTGTCTGTGGAATGAGGCTGTCTGTCTCTGCTGCTCTCTTATAGTCTCGCTGAAGGTCAGAGAGCAGCTTCCCGTCAGGGAAACACTAATGGACTTAATGCTCTTTAGACTTCATCAGGGGTGTGTGTGTGTGACACGTTAACCTCAAGGTTATGGTCTCGTTTTCTGAACATGTGAGAAGATGCAGCATTTCACTATCACACAACAGATTCACAAACCCAACAAAATAGACTAATGTTTCAGAAAAACCCATCATTGATCGCTTGAATGTCTTTCATCGTTTACTTCTACTGGACCAGATCGAATCATGTGTTGGACTTTTGACACGACTGTGTTAAACACATCCCAACGCCGTCAAGTCATGTCACTGATTTGTGCTTTTCCCAAGACTATATGTGTTGTGAGGTGAGGCTGCTCTCTCCGCGGGTTCATGAGCGCTGAACGGCCGCTGACGCCCTGGAGCTCACATCTCCACAAACACCGAAGCACATTTTCAAATAGCCGTTATCTTTATTAACAAAAATTTGAAGTCTAAACAACTACATTCTCACCTACAAAAAAAAAAACTCTTTAAACTATATTATGTGACAAAACAACAGTAGTATTTGTTAAATTACATTGGGTTTGGTCATCTGCCATGACACCCGCTGTGAGAAATGATACAAGTGAAGAATTCAAGATTCAAGGACCAGACCAAACTGTTGTGTGTATATATATCCTCCTGACAACCAGCTATGGAGTCTTGTCCTCTGTAGTGGACATAATGTTTTAGCGATTTCTCTGAGACCTCACATGTCACAGCTGTAAGTCTGGATGTCCTGTACAGAGCACATTCAGGACTGTTCAGAGAGACCATATGATTGGATGTTTCACCATGACCACTCCCTCTCACATTCAACACCCTTGTGGAAATATGATAATATTTAGTAATGATCATTTAAATCCGACTAATTTCTAATCTGATTTGTCATAAATCAACATCTCAGGAAAATGTTGTGGGGTTTCAAATCAAAATATGACTTTCTGTTATGAAACAGGACATTGATTTGTAGAGAACAGCAGGACTAAAAGCATGTTTATTACGCATTTTGGGAGACACAACAAATGAATAGGGAAATTATATTTCAATATTCCTATGACATTTTAGATTTATTATTATTATTATTATGTTATTATGAAAATCTTGCCAATTAATACTCCCATTATTACACTTCTTTTTTCATTACATGTTGCCCCAAAAACAAATTAATATGCAAAATAGATACAGTTTATAGATACATTGCACATAATAAAATAACCGGTTTATGGACATTTTACACACATATTGCATAAAGCAAAATGGTATATCAAATCATTCTGTTATATCTTTCATAACATAGTTTAGAATAATTTTTATACAAAGTTTGGTATAAAAAAAATAAAAATGGATTATGGATTAAAAAAATAATAATTGTTTTTGCATTTTCATGTCTATTCATGTCTTTTTATTTCTTTTAAAAACAGGACTTTTTAAAGTCCTGCTCTACAGAAGACATAGTATAACATATGAATAAAATATAATTTTAAAAATTGAAAAATATTAAATTCAGCTTTTTTTTTTCTTCTGGTAGTCAGGAGGATAGATTTATACAGCAGTTTGTTCTGGTTCTCAAATCTGATTGGTTGAGAATCATGAGATATTGTACTGGTATCGCTACAGGAACACACTGAACTATGTAATTATTAAATAATAATTACAGAAAGATGTTAGAAAACCTCGGGTTATTGGTAAACCAGTCACGAACCAGAGCAGCGCGATGGAAGCTGACATTATCCCAAACAACAATGTAACGAGGCTGCTCTGGCTGTGCTGGTTCCCTGAGGTCCAGCTGGAACATATGCTCTCTTAGACCATCAAGGAAAGCAAGGAGGAGCATAGTGTTATAGGGTCCTAGAATGGCATGACGGTGGAGTACCCCTCGTTGGCTGATGGCTGCACACATAGTGACATTCCCTCCGCGGTGACCAGGGACATTTACAATAGCCCGATGGCCAATTATGTTCCTCCCCCTTCTCCTTCTTTTGGTCAGGTTGAAACCAGCCTCATCCACAAAGATAATTTCATGGGGAACAGGCCGGCCTTCAATCTCAAAGATTCTCTGCAAAACACATGAAACACAGTAGAGTAAATCACTGCCCTGAAGCACAGTTCAAGAGGGCACAAATGGCAGCATAAACTGCTATACTGTGATGGTACACAATACTTCATACGATATCAAAACTCATACCTGAACATATTCCACTCGTTGGTCTTTCACTCTGTCAGAGTTTCGTTCGAAAGGGACGCGGTACGCCCGTTTCATCCGGAACCGGTGCTTTCGGAGGATACGATCAATTGTGGAGAGGCTGATGGCATTTATCCCTCGAAAATGATGATTATCCTCAATCACTCTCCTTTGAATCTCTCGCAGGCGGATTACATTATTGGCAATGACCATGTTTACAAGCTCCCTCTCTTGCTCCTCCGACAAAAGCCTTAGCCTGCCTCCACCAGGTGGTCGTCTCTGTGTCCTACAAAAATAGAAGCACTCATTACTGTAACTGTCACACATCCTTTTTACAGGAAAAAATGGAAACATACTGAAACTCTATCTGTATGCGAGGCAATTTGATGCATTTCTTTATTACAGTAGCATAGTGCAACAGTGTATGCACTCTAAAGTTACTGTACAGAGCAGTCTTACTGTAAGTACACCTACCTGTTTTCCTCCCTGAAGGTTCTGATGATGGAGGCGAAGGTGAAGCGACTCAAATTTGGCTGTACTCGTTGCCCAGCCTCCC